ATTTTAGTCGTTCAGGTCCAGCTGCTTCAAAGTAAAGACTGAGATTTCCAAAGTTCTATATCTAAATGCCTAATGTCAAAATCCCCAATAAAACCGGCCTTTTTGCTTCCCGGAATGCTTAATTCATCCCTTAAAATATCTTTGAAGTACTGAGTGCTAGTACCTTAAAGGGGTCATATGATGCGAATTAAATTTTTCCTTTCTCTTTGGAGATCTGTAATTATGTCCCCACTGGATGCAACAATTAAATGCCTCGTTTAAAATGGGCTTTATTGTTTTTGTCTCGTCGCTCCGGCCGGACACGGCATCAACACAGTATGGTGAGGGGCGTAACATTTCCTTCACACACTTGAGGTATTCGGCCAATCATAACGCATTGGATAGCTGGCCAATCACAGTACACCTCGCTTTTTCAGACCGATGAGTTTTGTAAAAATCGACGCGTTTCAGAAAGGCGGGGCATAGAGGAGAAACAATAATGTAGAGTATGTGGAAAATAATTTTTTTTAATCTTAAACCGCATAAACATATTTCATTACACCAAATACACAAAATAATGTTCTTTTTAGCAGCATCATATGACGCCTTTAACACTTGCTCTTTTGTTTATCCATTGGTTAAATTATATAAACAACGCTATCCTTATCCAGTACTTCACAAACGCATACAGTAAAGTCAGTACACACACACACTCTTACAGAGGGTAAAAGCATCATGTGTGCATTCCGCTATAGGGTGACTGCTTATTTAGTCTCCCCGTAATGTCCCAGTTGGCTCAATGTGGTTAGCACACAGGGTGGCCAGGGTAAGGACCAGGCCCAAAGCAGGAAGGGTCTATTCATGGGTGCTGCATTTTAAGGTCCTTGTGGAAAAAAAGTAAATAGAGTTTTTTTAGATCCTACACAGAGCTCTGTTTATAGCTAGACAAGTCTCTCTTCAATAACTCATTTAGAATATGAACTACATATTTACTGCAAAGTGGGATTGTGGGTAAATACCAGCAGCACACTGTTTGCAGTGGGAATTTCTACTTGCATTTGCACAAGGGCTGATACATGTCATGCAGATGAGTAATGGCAGAGAAAAACAGTGTAAAATCACTCCTAACAATCTGTATTACAGCCTATAAACCAATTATGTTGATGGCCTGCGTATTCACATTGGACAATATAGTCATAAAGTGCTTCTTTACTGGCATTGACAGATGAATATTCATTGCATAGGTCCATCTGCACTATTTTATCATAAAATTGTTAAAGGTGCCATATGCATGATAAACTCTTTATGCCGCATGCTTTAAAATACAGCTGTGCTAACTTGGCATGGGGAACACAATGGGTGCATAATTAGATTGCAAAAAGAGAATGGCCCAGCATAATTGAATACTGCATTGCACACATGCTGTATCAGTGATAAAGAAGAGTGTCCAAGATAAGGAAAAGTATATTTAAAAAATCTAGTTTAAATTAAATATACTGTTTGTGTTCATGTTGATATATATTTTTTTTACCAACATAATATGGGTCACACTTTATTTAAGGTCCATTTCTCACTATTAACCATTAACTACAACTCATTTGCTGCTTATTAACAGTTAGTAAGGTAGTTGTTAAGTTTAGGTATCGAGTAGGATTGGGGATGTAGAATATGGTCATGCAGAATATGCTATTAATATGCATGCTAATAAGCAACTAATTAATAGTGAGAATCGGTCCCTATACTAAAGTGTTACCATAATATTATGGTAATAATATTATCTAAAAGCGTCTGCTAAATGACTAAATGTAAATGTAAATGTAATATGCAATCTTTTTATACCAAATTTAGATGTAATAACTCCAAAAATGTCATGTGTCAATGTCACTGAGTAAAAAGTAACCACATAATGTCATTATTTCTACACATCTTTATTTTATCTTTATTTTTATATTTTTCTTACAAAATTTCATGAATTATTAATTTATAAAAATTACCGTTCATTTGGGGAGTCACACCACAAAAAAAAAAAAAAAAAAAAAAAAAAAAAAAACAGCCTTTGCGATTTCCGTCCATCTGTCAGTCAAAGGTGTGGCGGGATTTTCCTGGCTGGTACTGTTTTGTGATACTTCATACCTTCTTTGCGAGTATTCAGTTCAGGCTTTCCAATTTAAATGCAAATTTTATAGGACATCACAAGGAACCTGAGATGGGTGCAAAAAATCATTCAGCACCAACGATGAATTATATATTTTAATTAACCAGTGAGGGAAATGCGTCTATTCAGCAGCAATGGCCATAAATAAGAAATGAATAAATAAATAAGACAGAAGATAAAGATGAGCAAAATGGGTCTCATTGAGCAGCATTATTATAAAATCTGCAGTGCCATTGGATGTCATTAAGAAAAGGACCCTGAGCTGTCAGATATCAAATGTATTGTTCTCTAGTTTGATGGGCAAAAAGCTACTTATGGCTGTCAGAAAGAGGAGGATTTTTGAAGAACTGACAGAGAGATACAATTTTAATTTCACTCCTGTCAGTCCATGTTTTTTTTCTCGAGTGCTGGAATATATATGAAGTGTCAGTCAACAGACTAAAGTATTTCTCTGCTTTACTCAAGAATCTCAACGGAATAGAGGGAAGCTTTGGTTTTATAAGCGGTGATAATTGAAAAATGTAAAAGTGCACTTCAAAATACTGAAAGTAATTTTGGACATACTTTAAATTTGGATGAATTAATTTAATGTGAAAGATTTCAACTGTACCCACTGTATTATGCTGTGCAACAATATTTGAGTAATATCCAGACATATGCTTGATTTCTGAGGGTTTATTGTCATCTCTATGTAAATGATGACCTGATGCAATGTTTATGATGGATTTTTGATGAATGACACACAGAGACAAACAAATGCAAAGACGTTATTCAGCGAGAATGTACAATATTGACTTTAGTCTGCGACATTGATCAAACAAAGAAAATAGTTTGCTCTCTCGTCTTCACACTTGTGTGTATGTGAACCTTGTGTTTAGTGAGTGACGAATGCTGGGAAAATACAGTGTGTTGATAAAAGACAACCTAAGTATGCAGACCCATGAATCAGAACATAATAAGTAGCTGACAAAAGCTAAATATCCACAATATTAAACATCCACATCAATAAAATTATTGTGCAAATATTATATGCACATCACTCCCACTTAAGTCTGCGACACCAGCCAAGACAAGGACGTTCTTGCCAGCAAAAACAATCAAGAACTTTTGCTGCAAGTGCGAGCTAGGTTCTCCACAATTAGTGAGACAGTGTTGTGATTGCGATGTTAAATATATAAATAAAGTGTGTGTACATTTCCTTTCGCAAGTTAACCATCCTGATAATGGGGCGTGTTATAATATCCTGTTTAACTTTAATGAATAACTACTGTTGGGATCATGGGAGACAATTAAACAAGTGAGTATACAAAAAAATGAATGCTTGTATTCCATCCGTGGCTTTAAGTGTGCATTCATCCAGAAGAAAGTTTTCTATTCTCCAGTTATGAATATTCCCTGTCTCGCTCTGATGAATGCCTCTCTTTGTGTTTGTTTTAACTGTAGGCTCTTTTTAATGTTTTACATTCTGGTGTACTTAGGGAGACAAATTTATTTCCTGACCCTACAATGTGTTGTCTTTGGTCTGGATTTCAAATGTTTCACTCTGAAGTCTTCCCATAGGAAAGAAAATCACCAAAGGGATCCTTTTAATATCTCAATTATTTCTCCTCAACGTAAATGAGATTAAATGGAAGTCTTCTGCTACTCAGATATTCCCAGATTCAGATTTCCCAGTAATCTCACAAATGTCACCACTATGGTTTTAGAAGTGATCTTAGCAATGTTTCAAACTGTGGTAAGATTAGCTAAGATATGAAAGTCTTTAATCAGAGATCTTATTATGAACTAAATTCGCAAGTTTTTCCAAAACCAAACTTCAGCTACACATTCTGCACCTAACAGCAGGCAAGGGATTTTTTGAAACTCAATTGAAAATGGTAATTATTTTTGCAATTCCGTTCGGTGCCACTTGTGCTGCAGAAATTACACACGGCACATTTAAACGAAACTGGAACTCTATTAAAGTTGCTGTAAGTGATTTCACAAACTTCCAATGTTTTGCTTACTCCAACCACATGCCCTCTCTCCAAAGCTTTGCCCTCCAAAGGCAAAGTCAGCTCGATGTCTCTCAAAAACCCATGAAAACTCAAAATGATTGACAGGCCTAGAATATTTCTGATTATAAGTGTAGGCTGTTTTGCTGTTCACAGGGCTGTCACAGAAACCGTTGAATTGATTGATCAAGACACATATTTCAATTATATATTCAAGGTAGTGGGAATATCTTGGCTGTTTGTTTGAGTGGCCAACAACATTGACTCAATCAGTGAGTTTGGAACGAAACTACCTGTCAGGTCTTGAAATGTGTGTGTCACATAAGAAAGACATACAAACGCATAGGGCCTACAATTGGAGGTACTTCGGGAACCGGGTTAGGAAACAACGTCCCAAGTTATGACATAGCAATCGTTGACCAAAGAAAATTTCACCAGAGTTTGTGTGTGGAGAGAGAGAAAAAGAGAGATAGAAGGCCAGATGGAGAGAGACTGTGAAGGACATTTATGATGGTCAATCCTGGATCCAAACATTCTGGCATTGTCTTTCCTTCTTCCTATTTCTCATCTAGGACTGTCTATCCCGCAGCCAGTTGGGCAGAGAGAATATCAGTCCCTGAGGACATTGGTTCCACTGATGAGATGCTATAAAGTAGGGAAGAGAGAGAGAAACGGATAGAGAGAAGTGGGACGGGGAATCAGGAGGCAGAGACACTGAAAGAAAGAAAACAAGCAAGTGAGAGAGAGAGAGAGAGAAAGAGGGAGGGAGGGAAGGAGGAAACTGTCCTCATGCTGTCTTGGCATCGGTGCCACCCAGTTTCTCTCGGGCAGGCCAGAAGCCTCACGATCTACCTCTGTGTGTGTCTCCTCAGATGGCCAACATTGTGACATCCTTCTGCTGTGTGGTGCTTGCAGCCGTGGTGGTGGTTTATGCCCAAAGGCGCAGCCAGCAAGGTAAGTCTACATTTTGGATACTTCCTCCATCTGTTGCGGGTCTTCGTTGTATGTGTTTGTACAGGAGCAAGTCAATTTCCTAATGAGATCAGTTAGACCTTTTGTATTTTAGGGATCAGTTTGTTCTTTTCCTGTCTTCTTTCTTTTTACTTGTCATTTTCTTTTGCGTCCCTCCTTCAATCTGTCTGTCGGAGTGGAACAGAGAAGTCACATTGTGAGCGGAGGGTCAGTATCACCTGACTGTGGGGAGGGGTGTGTGTGTGTGTGTGTGAATGCTGTTTAACGCATGGCCTGGCTGCCCGGAGACACAGAGACTAGCCTGTCGCTGGGCCAAAAACTAGAGCTCCAGAACCAAGCAATCCTCGGAGTGCGTATGAATGTGTCTAAGTTTGGACCAGACATCTTATTTTGCTGGCTGTGATGGGTTCTCTCATGCTTCGGTGAATAAGCAGCTATGTTGTTTCTGCATTCCAATTCAGTGTCATTTTGTGAGACAGCAGGGTGGAAGTGCTATCGAGACATTCTTGTTTCTTTGGAAGCTACTGTCATTTTCTGAGTTATTATTCAAGCTGGGTACAACAGCATATTACGCCGTTTCCTAACCACGTGCAACTCAAGTTTCCATCAACAAGTAATCTGTCTGTCCATGGTAAAGGCAAAACGCTACACAATCACAGCCAATCAGAACATATTTTATGGTGCTTGCACACTGGAGAAAGTGTTTTATGGAAAGGAATGCATACAATACATTTTAAGGGTTTGGAAAGAGTGAGACAGTTACAAATGAAGAAGGAACTGCTAATTGGATGAACTGACTGCAACAGCATTGCAGCAAAAGTGTTTGGTCGCATGACAAAAGATCATACTTTAGTAGATTTTAGTGTTTAGTCCTGCTCCTGGATGGCCACCTTCCAGCAGAGTTTATCTCTAGCCCCAGTTAAATTCAGCTGAACCAGCTAATCAAGGTTTTATGGATAACTTCCTGGCAAGTGTGTTGGAGCTAAACCCTTTATGGATATTTGCCCTTTAGGAGCAAGATTTGGCACCCCTGCTCTATGTCCTTATGATGATCTCATTTGAATCAATGGATTCAAAGCATTATCTGATGCAATGTGAAAAACTTGACTCTAGCTTTGGGTAAAATGAAAAAAAAAAAAAGTTGGAAGAGTTGCAATAAATGCGAAACAACCTGAACCTTCAACTAGAACTTGGGATGGGATGAGAATGAGAATGGGATGAGGTGTAGTGGTTAAAGACCTGGTCTTGTAATGGAAAGCTTGTACCACCATTGGTACAAGCTTTGTGAAAAGCTTGTTTTCACATTGGGAAAGTCGTGGCCTAATGGTTAGAGAGTCGGACTCGTAACCCAAAGGTTGCGGGTTCGAGTCTCGTACCAGCAGGGATTGTAGGTGGGGGGAGTGAATGTACAGCGCTCTCTCCCACCTTCAATACCACGACTGAGGTGCCCTTGAGCAAGGCACCGAACCCCCAACTGCTCCCTGGGCGCTGCAGCAAAAATGGCTGCCCACTGCTCCGGGTGTGTGTTCACGGTGTGTGTGTTCACTGCTGTGTGTGTGCACTTTGGATGGGTTAAATGCAGAGCACTAACTTCACTTCACTTCACTTCATTGCGACTGATTTAGACTAACCCAATCCTGTTCTTGGACAGCCAACATCCTGCAGAGTTTAGCTCCAACCCTAATTAAACCCACCTGAACCAGCTAATCAAGGTCCTCCAGGCAGGTGTGTTGGAGCAGGTTGAAGCTAAACTCTGCAGGATGTTGGCCCTCCGAGCGCAGGACTGGGCACGCAGATCCTCAGTGTTTTTCCAGGGGGACTAATCTGTACTATATATTGTACTTTAAGTCACTTTCAATAGAACTGTCAGCTAAATGACTACTTACTAAAGAAGGATTGCCGACCTTACGCCAGCCAAAACTGCAGATGTAGCTTCAGATGGGAGCACTGTTTGAGAGTGATAAAGCATCTTCTTGGATGTCTCATGCTGTTGTCATCCCCCTGCGGCAGCCCACGTTTTGTTGAAGCGAGGCTCTCACTAAAGCTGATTACATCGCTATAATGCCTAGTCATTGGCATGTGTTTCTCTGGCAGGGCAGTTTGATACGGTGATGTCATGGTGGGGTGACATCACCACGTCATCCATCAGCAGTGCTGCTTATCTGCTTCTACACGTGTTCTGATTGGTCAGCTGATCGTGTTTAATCTAGACAGCAGTCATCACAAACACAAACCATGCAATGCCAGTTAAGCCTTTTGCATACGCACACACACACACTTAAAAGTGGGCTCAGTGAACACTAGTATATAGACAGATGGGAATACAGATGGACCAACAAAAAATACGCAAAAACAGAAAAGAGAACTATATTACAGTACACAAATATGTAGAGTGTACACATGCACACAGACTCACACAAGATTTGTGCTTAATGCATCATTAGGATAGGTAGTTGTTGATAAATATGTTTTAAAATTAACCAAGACACACACAGTCAGTGACTTAATAAAAAAATATTTCTTGTTGACTAATTATAACAAAATTCTATTTGACATCTTGGAAAGTCTTTATTTGTATTCTGCCATTAATTTACTAATTATAGATTTAATAGCATGCCACTTTTTCTTATAAGTATTTATTTTTATTTTTATGGAATCTCTGTGTTTATTTTTATTTATTTATTTATTTTTCCTTTTGGGCAAAGCTTGATACTGCACCATATGTTTGTTTCAGTGACAAACTGTCAAAGCACCCTAATTCAGCTTCAGGTGGCTCTCTTCTCATGATCATGCAAATGTGAGTAATTGCATTAGAGCTTTGTAAACCTTCTAAGTTGGGTTAGTGTTAAACAGGGGCTGTTGCTGGCCCTGACTTTTAAGTAAAATTGAAGACCAAATGGCATTCCAAACAAAGAGTTCAGGTTCATATAATCTTGCCAATCACAACGATAAGGGTGTAAATCCTGGTTTTGCCAAGAACGAAGTGTTCCTGCATCAAATTCTTTTGTTAGTCCCGGAAAAAAACATTCCAGGCAAACAAACATAGTTTTAACCCTATCTATAACCCATGCCTAGACAATAGCTACCTAACCTAAAAGCAGATTGAAAGGATAGGTTAAGAATGTCATTCAAGCTCCATCACCTCCTGCATTCCATCTAAAAACGGATGTGGGATATTCCTAAAATATCTGACTTCCGACATTACACTGTTTGCTCATGAATGGCATGCTATTGTTAGCTTTGCAGGTGTTTCAACAAAGAAGCCTCCTGCCATCCTAATTGCACAAGATAAACAATGCTATATAATCTTAGCATATGTTCTGCAGGTGTATGAGTATAAACATAGCGGATCATTTACAGTGTTTAACCCACCTGTCTCCGCAAACATTTGCTAAGTAGGTTTAATAATCACACCGTGCAGGAGCTTATTGATTGGTACCGTACGCCCACATATCACATACAGTTTTCAAGTTTAATTTTAAGTGGTTTTCTATTTTATTCTTTAAAGAAAATTCCTACCGAGTTGAATGGAACTCAGCATAAGCCTAAACCTTATCTGATTGGTTGACCCAAAATGTTGATCCAAGACTATTAACAGTAAACAGTGTGCTTTGTTTTCCATCTGCTGTTACATCTTGTACACAGTTGAGTGTTTATGAGTACACTTCACTGACCATGAGCTTATGTGTATGATCCATGTGCACTGAAACTGTGGACCCTATGATGAAGAAATGTATGTGATACATAGTAGCCTATGCGCAAGATGTAGCAGCACACGGACAACTGAATTGCAGTACACTTTCACCTTTTTGCATTCTTCTTGTACATCATGCAGCCCAGACCAAATTGTAATTAATTTTGTATATAGTTTAATTCCGTAACAGAAAGAGTTAAAACGTTAATTTAAAATATACATGGCTTTGCACATGCTGTACACACTAACTACGTACACTGGAAAGTTCAATGCTGTGCAATTTTAAAGGGGTCATATGATGTTGCTAAAAAGAACATTATTTTGTGTATTTGGTGTAATGAAATGTGTTTATGCGGTTTAAGGTTCAAAAAACACATTATTTTCCACATACTGTACATTATTGTTTCTCCTCTATGCCCCGCCTTTCTGAAACGCGTCGATTTTTACAAAGCTCATCGGTCTGAAAAGCGAGGTGTGTTCTGATTGGCCAGCTGTCCAGTGCATTGTGATTGGCCGAATACCTCAAGCGTGTGACGGAAATGTTACGCCCCTTACCATACTAGACAAAAACATTAAAACCCATTATAACCGAGGCATTTGTTGCATCCAGCTGGGACATAATTACGGATTATAATGACTTAAACTGTCTTTTTACGTGTTACGTTGCATCGTGCCGTGTAAACATAAAACCATGTCTGCATTTGTGATCGGAGAAATGACAAACAACAAGCGCTACTCTACACTGCTCAAAACTCGCGAGGCGTTTTAGGAGGGCGTGGATGAGTTTTGACTTTTATAAAGAATATCTCTTTGGGTTTGAGACTTTAGTCTTTGCAACTTTAGGGATCTTATCTATGCACGAACAGCTTGTAACAATCCAAAGAGAAAGGAAAACTTGAAATCGCATCATATGACCCCTTTAAAGTTTGTTGATTGGTTATTTGTTCTTCAATCTCCTTTCAAGTCTGCGTGAAGGGGCCGGGGCTTATCATCTGTGCGCAATTTGCACAAGGGCTAATGAGAGTTGTATAAAAGCTTACTCATAATTCCCAAACTAAAATAAAGTAAAATACAAAACTGACCACTGCTTTTGCGTTGTTTTATCGCTAATCGTGGTTAGCATATTAGCATGCTCAAACCCTTTGTGGAAGTATCTTTTTTTCATGTTGTATTTATTTATTATGTGAAATTAACACTGTATATTGATTATATTAGTAATTAAGCCATCGTATACAGAAAAAAACGAACTGTTGTTTTTTTGGTGGACAGTTTAATGATCCTTTAATTT